GTATGAACTTAAAAAAAACAACAACCCTGGACGTATTGATAAATAAGGTGAAAGCGATGTCTTAATACCGCGAGGCGCACGAAAAAGTAGCTACGACGGACTACTTTTTTCGTTCGCCTCCTTGTAGTTTAACAATGGCAAAGTCTTGCAGTATGATTTTGGTAAACTTGTTGTAACGTTTGGTCACTGCAACATGGAGGGCAACTATTTTCTCACTCCTGAACGGATTCATTTTTTTAAGGGGGCAGGAATGGGGGATTTTTACGTTTAATTTTACACAATACTCTCCTCTTTGTTTCGTGTTCGATGTTTTAGATCCTGTTGACATTCTTTAAGAAATAAAATAAGAAGAGAAAACAATACGGAGAAATATTATAAGAGACCCTTAAGAAAAACGTAAGAATATAATAAGGAAGATTAAGAGAGAAATTGAAATAAAATGACAATCTAAAGAATGTCAAAGAAAGTTTCTGCCTTAAACGAAAGAGCTTAAATATTTGATTTTACAGCACAAACAGTGAGGCTGTTTTGTTTTTTTTATATATAAATTACAACTCTTCTGTACACCGGATGGATCTAAGAAGCTAGATATCTACAGTTATCCGCCCTTGATGAAAATCTCCCAAATGTATTAATCATGTTATTATTTAATTCACGTTACCTGTTTGTCAATCGTGTATATTTAATAGTGACAATTCATGTTTCCAGTGTACAGGTCAACTCCTAAGTACAGCTGCACAAAACTGTCACCAGTCCACAGAGTGTGCCCGAGATCACTGCTGCCTCCTGGACAAGTCCCTCAACGTGGGAGTGTGTAAGCCCATGGGAGGGATAGCCGAAAGATGCTACGTCCACCAGCCTTATGCCTACGAGCGTCCGAAGGAAATGGTCACCGACTACGACCTCTGTCCTTGCAGCACGGGAAACATCTGTGGCGGCATTGACAGCTACCATCCTGTGTATGGTCAGAGAGGAATTTGTACGTTTGGAAAGTGAGAAACAATAGTTCAATGTCTGGGGAACTCGTTTATTTTGTACTGTAAATAGGTTGTTACCTTCATAATAAAGTTATTGTTTTCCCATCAAACTCGTTTATTTTGTACTGTAAATAAGTTGTTGCCTTCATAATAAAGTTATTGTTTTCCCACTAAACTCGTGCATTTTGTACCGCCTTCATAATAAAGTTATTGTTTTCCCACTAAACTCGTGTATTTTGTACTGTAAATAAGTTGTTGCCTTCATAATAAAGTTATTGTTTTCCACCTCGATGCTAGTGGTAGTTGTTAGTTTGTTATTGACCGTGAGCCTAAATCTTATTTACATTAATGTATGGCGGAGAGGCTTGAATCACTTGTGCCGGCTGGCTACCTATCCACGGGGATCGAGTTCGACACCTAGCTCAAGCAGAGTTGAGTTTAAAACGACTAGATCAGATCTTCAAGTAGTTCTCTATTTTAATACAAAATTAAAAGTCCTAAAAACTGTCATAATGAATATAAGGTCTATTAAAAGTGTGTGTTTGCGTGTTTTTTTTTTGGGGTGGGGGGAGAAAGCTTATGAAGATGGGTTATTCTAAATAAGTTGCCTCTCTAGATTTATGACTGACAAAAAAAAAGTATGTAGTCTGTGGATTATAATAAATTAAGAATAATGATGATTCTTCTTTTAAACTGTTCCACGGAAAGGGGCGTTTCGTTTGAAATATTGTGTGTGGGCATTATAGTTCAGGGAGATAGAAGGCTAAAATTGACGGGTCTAAAATGTTTGTGTACATACACTTTAATAGGGGGTTGCGGGCCCTTTGTTACAAGGATGAAAAAATAAAGGGAACTTATAGAATTTGAGGGTTAGAAAATTATATTGTGATGGGGCAGCGTTATAATGCGGACCGATTTTAAGATGGGTTAAAAAGTGTTTAAGACGATATATTAACCCTAATCCGATCTGTGGCATTTTGCATCTCGAGAGATGATGTTTTCCATTTGCAACTTCTTGTGTGACTAAAGAGGTCAATCCTTGATACACAGCTGCGGTCACAGGTTGGGCATCTGTAATCACCAGGCACCGTTGCATTTTCACTATGCATTCTGCTACTGTTGTGTATGACATCTGCAATCCGGGACCTTCCTTTATGCTCTCTCTCCATGTGGATCTATCCAGTGCCACTTTTCCCCAGCTGCTAGTGTCGATTTTGAATAGTAAATAGTAATAGTAAAAACCTAACCCATATACCAACTATTTCAACCATAGCGTAGCACGGGTATCAGGTATACTTATGCCCTCTTAGAATTCAAGGACAGCCGTTTCATTAGAAGATACAATGGGATTTGAAATAAGGTGCCTCTCTAGAGCTAGATCTGTAACAGACAAAATAAAAAAAAGTAGGGGTTTAAGAGTGTTTCGGCCAAAAAAAAACCATATATAAAAGCCATATCTACCGTAGCGTAGCACGGGTGTTAGCTAATTATAAACATAAACTAATTAAATGTTTTGAACGCCTCGTTGTTTTAGCGGCCCCCGAAAGGGGAATAGACGCTATTAGTTTTGTGTGATTTCTGTGTGTCCGTCCCGTTTAGAGCTCATAAACTAGAACAGGTAGCATCTTAGACGTAGTACATGTAGTATATCTTTCGAAACACACACACACAACGCACGAACAAACACACACACACACACACTCCGTAACACAGCAGATGGAGGATTTGTCCCCTAAAGAATTGTTTAAGGATCGATCGGGAGGCTTTCAAATATAGTTTTCCTGGCTAGCTCAGGCAACCCATTTCATGCACTAATAGCACTAGGGAAGAAGGAGCTTTTGTACAAATTTGTCCTAGCATATGGGACGAGGAATGTATCTTTATCTTTGTGTCTTTTTGAGTATTTTATTAAATTTTGTTTGTGTATTTGAAGATTATGGTTCAGTGTTTTATGTATAATTGTTATTTTACTTTCAAGTCTTCTATCCTGAAGGCTTTCTAAATTTATTGATTTTATTAAAGGTGTTACTCTAGTCAAATGTGAATATTCGTTTGTTATGAAGCTCACTGCTTTTGATTGGACAAATTAAACCGCTGATGTAGCTGTCTCATCTTGGTTCTTAGTTTCACAAGCATATAGTTACATACTGTGCTATAGGAAATTGTATTCTGTAGCGGAAAATCAACAAATAGCTAGCGCGTTGGTGTAATCGAGGTAAAGAAGAAAAGAAGGGACCACAGTGACAATAAGATTATCTTTTAGTTTTTTTTTGCTAGAGTTCTCTGACATTTTTTTTGCGTACATTTTAGCTCTGCAAAATCTAAGTTCATCAACTTAAGCCTATTTTTTTAAATAACGGTAGTTATCAGCATTGACTCTTTCTCTCCAAATTAACGATATCATCATTGATTTGACCCAATTAAATTAAATTAATTTTTGATTTTATAAACAATATTTTGTGTTATATAAAAAGAGCATGCATTTTCCTATAATTCTATACCAAAAGTAACATTTTCTGATAACAAACAAAAATGTTATTGAAGTTAAATCATAACAGGGTAGAATGTACACATGTGAAAAATGAACTTTTCTGTCAGAACGTAAAAAAATGATTACGGAGGAAAAGAGTTAAAGCTCAATCAAGCGTCCTTGACATTGTTGAGATTATCGTGAAAACCTCCAACAGGCATAGCTAGGTATGGGGATCGGGGGGGGGGGGAGGGAGGCCTCGACCTCTTTAAGGGCCCCTGCATTTTGACATTCAAAATTATGACATAGGGTAAGGGTATTTAATGTAAAAGCACATTTCGGACACTCATTTGGGGCATCCCTCAAGTGGGGGCCCTGGGGTATTTTAAAATTTGGAACCCCTCTCCCTAGCTACGCCACTGCCGGCAGGAAGCATAAGACGAAATGAGTACAGCGGAAGATGACAATTCTTGTTGTGGTATGAAGCATAAGATCAACAAATTTCAATGATAATGACATGTTAATGATGTTAATATTTCTCTTACAGGCGTAAGGAATAACAGAATAATCCTAGTGCCTCTAATAAATATAAATCAATTTTCTAAAGTATCAGTGTATAGAAGTAATACTATTGTAGCTTGAAATTGAAGAATGAATAATTATATTAAATGTTAACTTTGTTACTCTTTGTAAAATGTTTCAATTGGTCTTGATGGAAATTGCGGAATTGTATTCCAGTAATAATGAAGTAATCTTTGAACATTACAACATTCGGGGGTAGTAACTCTTGACTCCTCAATCAATTATTGAATTGCTCCTCTTTGACATAGAGATACTATTTAATGCTTGAATTTTTCTTCTACTGTTGTTCTTGCGTTATTTCAAAATGCATTGTAGATCTATGTAGATTACCGAACATAAATTACAAATAAAGTTATTCATCTTTGAAAAAATGATGGTAAAATAACAGGGCTGATAAGAATAGTTTTATGTTATATTTCTTTTTTTTTTATAAATATTTACATACAAGTTTTTCAACGTTGTTCTTCTTTTGTATCGCAACTTTCTTTTCCTTTGTCTGAATTTTTTCATTTGTTTATATTTAGCTTGATTAAAAAATCATATAAGATACAGAGGGGAGTGTGTCTAAAGAAAGGGTCTTTTATAGAAAAGTGGACCGGTTTCATGAGCTAGAATTCAGCGCCAAGTCTGGAATATCCAGTTGAAGAATGTCTTCAAATCTTTGGTTTATTCGTAGAATAGTAGGCCTACGTAATAGACATATTAAACATTTTCGATTATTATTAAAGTTATTCGATTGGAAAAACTGGCTTTGGCCCAAGAAGTTTTATAAAATTATATATTATTTTCATCTTTCTGCGAACCCCCTGTGTTCGTCTTGCGGACCCCTGAGGGTTCACGGACCACAGTTTTTGAGGATTACTGACCTAGATCACAACTCTGTCAAAACATGTTTAACGAAACCAATATTCACAAATTAAAAATAGACAAACACAAAGTAAAGAGGCAAAACATAAGGCTTACAAGTCATAATTCTCTGAATACATGGCCAAAACTTTATTCAGAATATAGATCACTCTCTTGTTTCCGAGTCTTGAAAAGTTGAAACAAACGTAGAACTCTTCTTGGTGTAGAATCACATTTTTGGAATGGAGAAACCATTATCACAATAGCAAGAAGAAAAAAGTTAAAATATGGATACAAGAAAAACATTAAAAAAAAATACTTTAAAAAAAAAACAAAACGAAACAAAGCTTTATATTAAATGTAATTGGCATGTCATTATTTGCACTATTGACCTAGACATCATAAATCTGTGCACTTAGAAATATTTTTTATCAATTATTTGTTTAGTTTTTAGCTTTCTCTATGCGCTGTCCTATCACGTGTCTGGGCCAGCTGGGAATGGGTAACGGGAAGAAGGGGGGGGGGGTATCTTGCTGAATGTTAAAATGATCGTTTTTTTTAAACGCATAAAAAATTTACATACATTGCTCAAGACCTTAAAGGGACTAATTCTACTTATACCTCCACACCAGTCAAGTACGATTTCTTTCCTTTGTTCAAGATACCAAACACAATAATTAATTACCAATAGTTAATGAACGTATTGGTTAATTTTTTAAATTGATTCTTGTGTTATCAGGTAAAAGAAATAATTGTGCAAAATGTCTGCTTAATCCGATGTTGTGTGTGGGAGAAATAACGTGTACAAACTTTTTTTTTCACCCTACAGACAGACAGAGTTGATATAAGATTTGTAAGAAATAAGCAACATTAGGCAAAAGTTAACGTCTTTGTATGTTTTCTATTTGTATCTATCTCGATTTTTTAACTTTTAATGTCCAGTGTTTTGTCAATGAACATATTTTACTGCACCTTAATTGTAGTGTGTATGCTCTTATAAGCCATCACCTATTATACTAATTTATTATATTTTTTTCTTAACACTATAACGTATACGCTTGGCTAAAAGTTAAATTATGCACAACTAAACAAAAAAAAAAGATTTAAAATAAATATTGTTCCTTAACAAAGAGTCATAGGGCAACATATCAAGTGATTTAGATAGGTGCTTTTCCAACTGTGGCACGCATACCTCTCTGTCAAGTGATACTCATGTAGTTCCTTACATTTCAAGATGCAATGTATACGCATACCTCTCTGTCAAGTGATACTCATGTGGTTCCTTACATTTCAAGATGCAATGTATACGCATACCTCTCTGTCAAGTGATACTCATGTGGTTCCTTACATTTCAAGATGCAATGTATACGCATACCTCTCTGTCAAGTGATACTCATGTGGTTCCTTACATTTCAAGATGCAATGTATACGCATACCTCTCTGTCAAGTGATACTCATGTGGTTCCTTACATTTCAAGATGCAATGTCTCATCTCTTCGTTTTTATATTTTGTACTCTGTCTGGTAGATGTTTGTACACGCGCTAGTTCTCCAACACAGAATCTTACATGAAGTCCAACGTTTGGACCATTATTTCTTGTACTTGACAAAACAAGAATCAATTTAAAAAAATTAAACTGTTAATTCATAATTGCTAATTAGTTGTTTTTTTTTGTTTGGTATCGAACAAGGGAAACAAATGTACTTAACAGAGGAGGTGGTATAAGTTAACTTACTCCCCTTTTATACTTTTGTAGAGAATTAGGTCACCCTTTAAAATTTGAAACTAACAATATCAAAACCTATTTTCATAATCAAGTGTTAACAAATTTACCAGAATCTGAAAGCGGCAGTGTAAACCATAGAGCGACTGGTGAGACCGACACATTATGGAAAGAATAACCAAAGAAGAAATCATTTACTGTACACGGGCGATAATGAACGATTCTTTGACTGTAGTACTTCAGTTTACTTGTCCGTACTGGGAGGCATTTGTTTAAAAACAGTTTGAGAAGCACAGGCTCGCTCATTATAAATGTAACTAGCTTAGTTCTAACAAAAATTTTTTTTTCCAAACATAATAAAAATTCAATATTGGAAAGAAACAGCAACGATCATTAAATCTAAATAGAGTCTATTCTGTTAACGTTTGTTACAGACACTTGAGACTCAATATCATCCCTGCACTATTGGAAATGTTTGTTAGTCCACAATTCGTCTGTAAAATATTCTAGTTTGAATAGAAGAATGCCATGTTCTTTCAACATAATTTAAAGGATTTATTTATATACAATGATAAACAAGTTTCTCTGGGAATGATTTATTTGATCTCTCAATTTCAACAATTAATCAAGTTCGCGGGTTTCATATAAACATATAATAATCATGGTAATTCACAAAAGCTAAATATAAGCACAAAATATGTATTCATTGTCTTTTTTAAAATTGAAAGTCTTGGCGTACAGGTGATTATAGTACTCAATTTTTAAAAATTATAGTGTTTAGAGATTCAAAAGATATTTAACTAACTGTTTAGCATCCTCGTCGCTACTTTCATCCATATCTGTTAAACCTTTCTCTGCCTCGTCGTCGTGGTAACCAAGTCCTTCGATAGCGTTTTTGATATGTTGTTCAGGCCACGGAGAATCTATCAAAACTTTGAAAGGTTTGGAGAAACTACGGCTATTTTCTGGCATCAAATCTAAATCCTGACTATAGGTTGGTTCTAACATATTTTCATCAATCATAACTGGCTCCCTGTCTCGTTTACCAAATGCATTAAAGGCGCTATTCTTGTCAATGCGATCAAAGGATGATTTTCCTAAACTAAAAGGATAATTCCTCTTTCCAAATCTCGAAAATGCGCTACCTCTGTCTATTCTATCAAATCGTCGCTTTCCAAAATGGCTAAAGCCGCTACTTATTCTGTCGAATCGTCGTTTTCCAAAACTGCTGAATCTGGAGCCGTCAGCTATTGAGTCGAATTTCCTTTTGCCAAACTTTCCAAAACCCGATATAGAGGATATTCTATCGAATCTCCTCTTTCCGAAGGGATTAAATTGCGAATTCTTAGAAATTCTATCAAAACGACGTTTCCCAAAGTGGTTGAATGCGCTTGAGTCACTGATAGAATCAAATCTCCTTTTATTCAAGAACTCGTCAAGTTTGTCGGATGAAATCTCATTCGAGTTGTCATCGACCTCATTGTCAAATCTATTGAAGGTGCCAGAGAAACGTTTAGAAATGGGACCAGATAGATCAGCATTGTTGGCAACCATGCTGAGCGTAAGCTCCCCTTCAGCTGTTCGTTTTTCGGCTTCCCTTTTCACTATAGCAGCTTCTTTTCTTTCTGTTTTTGAGTTGGACTCAAGAGCTCGTTTTTTCCTCAAGGAGGAATTGCCTTTATTGGAGGCTTCTTTCATTTTGGCATTGCCTGCATCTTCTAAATGATTCACAGACTCTTCAAAATTTTCAGCCCCTTCTTCATCTTCTCGTTTCCCAAAACTAGTAAAACTAGAAGTACCTATCCTGTCAAAAGGTCTTTTACCAAAACTGGTGAATGCAGAACTACCTATCCTGTCAAAAGGTCTTTTACCAAAACTGGTGAATGCAGAACTACCTATCCTGTCGAAGGGTCTTTTACCGAAACTGGTAATTGCTGAGGTACCTATCCTGTCAAAAGGTCTTTTACCAAAAGTGGTGAATGCAGAATTACCTATCCTGTCAAAGGGTCTTTTACCGAAAGTGGTGAATGCAGAATTACCTATCCTGTCAAAGGGTCTTTTACCGAAACTGGTAATTGCTGAGGTACCTATCCTGTCAAAAGGTCTTTTACCGAAACTTGTAAATGCAGAACTACCTATCCTGTCAAAAGGTCTTTTACCAAAAGTGGTGAATGCGGAATTACCTATCCTGTCAAAAGGTCTTTTACCAAAACTGGTGAATGCAGAACTACCAATTCTGTTAAAAGGTCTCTTACCAAAAGTGGTAAATGCAGAGTTACCTATCCTGTCAAAGGGTCTTTTACCAAAACTGGTAAATGCAGAATTACCTATTCTGTCAAAAGGTCTTTTACCAAAACTGGTAAATGCAGAATTACCTATCCTGTCAAAAGGTCTTTTACCAAAACTGGTAAATGCTGAATTACCTATCCTGTCAAAAGGTCTTTTACCGAAACTGGTAAATGCAGAATTACCTATCCTGTCAAAAGGTCTTTTACCAAAACTGGCAAATGCAGAATTACCTATTCTGTCAAAAGGTCTTTTACCAAAACTTGTAAAACTAGATGTTCCTATTCTATCGAAAGGTCTTTTATCAACGTTTTCCTGAGACGATTCCTTAGAGTCTATAGAGTCATCTACCGGGTTGTCATTGGTTGAAACTTCGCTATTTTTAGTAGAATCCTCCGGAATCCACAGTGTTAAAGGAATGGTCCACATTTCACCTGGCTGTGTGTTTGATACGCCACTTTCTTCTTCAGTGATGGCATTGGGATCCACTATCCCGTACGTGTTGAATCCGCTTCTCCCAGGTATGGAGTCTAGCTGCGATTCGTCCCCTATGTTAGACGCATCGCCAAGAGCTGGTTCAATCTCGCTATGAGCATCGGCATTTTGGAAATAGCCTTTTCCTGAAGCGGATCCCAACGCACCAGGAGAGTCTGCTTTTGTTGCTTGCTGCTCAATGTTTGTTATGGAGATTTCTTTGGCAGATGCTGTTGGGGTGTCAGAGAGTGACTTTGCTGTCTGAAATGCAATGAAACAAGAGATTATTACTACCGGCAGTTATTAGATAGAACGGTATTAGTCCATAGAACACATAAAAACAATTCATTTTAATCAACAGCTGATGATCGTTTTGTTCCTTTCATTCGCAAATGACATTATATCTTAATCTGTCTCACTATTGTATTTTCTTGTGTGTCACGTTGTGCTATTAGGACGCTTTTGTCGTCATTTCCGTTTCGTCTTTCCAAGAACGGTAAGTCTCATTCGAAAAAGCTCATCGGGGCGGAGTGTCTCCCCATAATCACGTTGACCGGCCGCCCAGAATGATTTCTCTCACAGATTGGCGTGGACCGGGGTCTTTTCATCTTCTCTTTTAAAGAAACGTCTTTAACTTATAAGATAAGATAAGATAACCCAAGACAAAAAATATAATAATTTGGGCAATACTATATGGTCAACAAAACGAAATCATAACATGGGCAAAAGAATGAAATCCGAGACTAGAACAAGGAGGCCAATAGAAAGATATCACGTGCTAAAACAATAGGGGCAACAAGATGGAATCACGGACCACAACAATGTAGGCAATAGAATAAAATCACGGACCACAACAATGTATGCAATAGAATAAAATCACGGATTAAAACAATACTTGTAATAGAAATGAAACCAATATCAAAATATGCATTTGAATGAAATTTCAGCCGAGAAAATAGAGAAATAGAGAAAAAACAAACAAATAGACTCCATGTGGACAAATTAAAGAAATCGCTTTCCTCGACATTCCCAATGATTATCATCAATACAATTATGAATAATGTGTCTATGTAGCTCTAAAACATTCAATGACATTGTACTGACGTCAATATCTTGTTATGGACATAATCCCAAATTTTAAATCATTAAGTTATTTTGGGGTTAAAGTCTTGGTGTACAGTGACATATTAGAACGTAGTTGAAAAAACCAAGACCTACATTCCTCGTGATAAAAAAGAAACCCAGCTAGATTCCCATGTTGTCAGACAGAGATGCACCAGACATCAGTAAATGCTTGATAAAGCAATACGTGCGTGTGCACCAAATGACCAGACACAATGTTCCAGGATACTTGTACCAAGCTCCAGTTGTCACATCAACATCGGAGCGTTGACCGTATCGATCTGCGGTTTTATTCTGCGAAATCTGCTTCCAATGACGAAATGATCACGTGGGACCCAAGGTTACTAAATCACTGGTGCGAAAGGCAGTTCTCTCAGCGGCTCTGTTTTACACTGTACAGCACTCACTTTATCCCTTTGTCTGCTGTAGAGGGCTTCTCTTGTGTGCAAAAAAAAATCTACATCTGTATTAGTCACGACCACAAGTTTTCATTCTGGAGTTTATCATACATTTTAGCAAAACCAATACTATACAGAATAAGTACATGCAGGAACTATGTAATCAGATTACTACACTTAAAGAGACAAATAAAAATGCAGTTTTTTGGATTATGGGTGATTTCAACCTACCTGATATAAATTGGAAAACACTAACCATAGATAAACACCAAAACCTTAAGGACATAAATGAGCTTTTCATAGAAACCTTACACAACCTATGTTTA